AGCCGCGGGGTCTGCGCGGTGCGCTGCTCCCGGCGCAGTGCCCGTCCCTGCTCCTTCCCTGCTCAGCGTCCTCCCGGCCCCCAGCGAGGATTTGGCTTCTTTGGAAATACTTCAACGAGGTGACTTTTTTTTTTTTTTTTTTCCTGGTTAAACTGGGTTCGTTGGGAAGTTTTTAATGAGAAGCCGGAGCCGCTCTTCTGATGTTTGTTAGTCATGGCTTTTCGTGCGGGGTGTAACAGCGCAGGTGTTGCTTTTTAATTTGGGAAATGCTTTAACGTGTTAGAATTTGTGCCTGGGTTTTTTTTCATAGTTAATTGGGGCCCATTCTCCTGAATGATGTGCCTGTTTGTGGGTTTCTGCCGGTTATAAATATATATTCTTTTCTATTCTCGCCAAACTAAAAAGAGATGTGGTGTCTTACCAGAGGAACAACATTAGAGCAACACAAAGCTAAAGTTCTTCATAATGATTGCTTTGTAAGAATAATGATATGAAATGAAAGCTTATATAATAAACTTGATAAAGCACCCCTAATCAATTAGGTCAGTTATCTAATACAAATACTTTTGTGCTGAGGTGCTGCAGTAAGAAGATAACTTAAATTGTTCAATTGTCGTTAGTGAGTACAGCCCTAAGGAGAGCCATGTAAGATTTCAGACATCAGAATGATCAATTCATATAATTGGGGGAAAAGGAATGTGTGTTTACTTGTTGCAAAGCGATTCAAAGACTTGTCTATTAGTTGTGTTGTGACCTCCTGATAATTTTTTAAGAAGCTATTTCCTGCTTATCAAATGATACTTTGGAGTTATTCTGAAACTATGTAGTCTGCCTCCTTTTTTTTTATGCTAAAGCATGAATAAGGATATGAATCCAAAATAGTTTCAGTATGTTCCAAGAATGGGAATGTGAACAACATTGGATGGATCATATTTGAATCATAACTAGTTTGAGTGCTCCCCCAGAAGTTTCTGGTAGTGCACTTCTGTCACTTGAAAACTGAAAGTGTATTTTTGTGAGTTTGATAACTGTCCCTGGACTGTGATTTGCCTTGTGTTTGGGGTGGGTTTTTTTTCCCCTTCACTAATAAAGGTAAACCTGTTCTTTAACTTTAAAAAAGAAAAAAAAAGAAGCCATCAATTAAGACCTGTGTTACCCTTCAGTAACCTTTTTCTGCCTTGCTTTTGCATTTCACCTGAAGAGATGCTTTAGGCCTCTAGATGTGAATGCCAAACCCAGTATTTTTAATGGTTTGGGTTTTTTTAGTAGTAGTAGAAATAGCGTGGGTGTGTGTATCTTCATAACATGCTGTTCTACTGGTATATTAAGGTAATTTAATCAGGATTACTACATAATTTAGTTCTAAATGATCTGAATTTGCAAAGAGGATGTTGTCCATTCATGCTCTTTCTGACAATTGGCCTTAAAAATGAAACTTACATGAGCCACGAGTGAATCTAATATGAAATACAAATCTTCTGAGTGGAAAAAAATCTTCTTTGTCCTGTTGTTACCTGTTCCTGCTATGTTGCAGACAACAAACAAGAAGGAGTTTTGGTTAATTCCCTCAGGGTCACCAGTTAAATGTGTCAAAGGAACTACTGGAACTTACCCAGAATCCAAAGGAGTAGTTAAAGCTTATTTTCAGAAAGACTAAAAAAAAGTATGTGTAGTTACAAAAGGTGCATAGTTTAGTAGTTATTAGTATTTTTATTGAAACTGAAGCTTATCCCTCATATCTTCTGGATATGTTCCAAGGAAAACAACAAACCAGCTTATCTTAAATATTAACATTATTACATTAAAAAAAATGCAGTATTTTTATTAGCATCTCTTGATTAGCATTCCTTTCAGATTTTAGTTTTACAGTGATTAAATGTGTTGCTTTCAGGCCACTACTGAACAAACTTAAGGCTATTCTAGTTTTATAGACCTAAACTCTAATAATTGTGTCCTTTCCTGCACTGCAATTATGGAACTTCCAAAACTCTTAATTGTTTTGCTTTAGCAGGTGACTGGTAGAAGAGACACACCTGTCCTTGATGATGTCGAGGAGAAAGTTGGAGAATAAAAGCTTTTCTGGCTTGTTAGCCACATCTCTGAACACGCAAATCAAGACAGATAACTTCCACAATTTCTATATGCTTGAGCCAAAAGAGCTAGGAAGGTAAGATTTTACTTGTTTTCTTTTAGCAAGAGGAAGTTCTGCTGCAGGAGAATTCTTTGTACACTGATAGAACTTTTCTGGCAGACTTTTCTGGTAGTAGATGGAGAATGAAGTATTTATTCTCCTTCCCCATTCCCTTCTTTGCAGCATCCAATGAGTTCTTAGAGGCCAGGAAAAGGTCCAGAGAGACATGAGTTGCCAGCCTGTTCCATGTCAGAGAGACTTAGCCTCTTGTCATAGGAACGTAGATTTGGCATTATCTTCCCCTTTCTGCATTTCCCCTGTCTAGTCACATGTCAGATTCCAGGTACAGAGACTAAAGAAGAGATGGCATAGGGTAATACTGAAAGACAAAGAATATGGGATTTTGAGTTGGTTGTTCCAGTTGTTTGGATGAGATTTTTGAAGTCCAGAAAACTTTTCCTCTCCCCTTTCCACCCACAAGCAGTTCCACTAAGTTTTGAACAAACTGCTGTTCCAGAGTATTTGCAGCTTCTCTTGCTCATGTTTGCAATAGTAAAATAGAAAATAAACCAACACAAGACCCCAAGCTCCTGGTATTTATGATACTGTTTCAGACATATGAGTGAAAGTGTTTTGTAAATCACTGGGTTAACTCATACCTTGAAAATACTCAGTGAATTGGGTGTAAAGCCATGCAAATGTAATGCCCTGGTTGTGTTTCCAGGCTCCTGAACAGAGGTGGTGTGGGTCAGTCTCACAGTTGTGCTTTGCTGTGCTGCATACTGATCCTTTGCACCTGCAGCTTGTTTTGTCAGCAGAGATGCTCTTCTGCATGTGGTTTTGTAAGCTCTTTAGCCCTCATTGTTCTCTCCGGGTTTTTTTTTCTAGCCTGTGCTTTATCTGATAGACTTTTACAGAAGTGCATGTTGCAGCCTGTAACTTTCCTCTTTTCTTGTGTCAGCTCTGCTTTTGAATTCTAGGCTCTACAGAAGCAGTTTGTACACACCAGAACTCCAGTATTGTTAAAACTCTGGATTTTCAGATTATACTTACTTGTGAGGTGGTGCCTAAAGAAAACCAAAGTAGAGATTTGGTGTGGATTCCACAGTCTTTAATGCTTTCTCTACATGCAAACCAGGAATAACAAAATAGGTGCCAAAATGCCCCAAAAATGCCAAACATACTTTTGATTTTCATGGCCTGTGTATATTTTTCAATGTTTTAAGTGTATATATACTTCATAAGTGCTGTAAACCCCATCTTTCTTTGCAGCTTCTCTAAAACATTCAATATGCTGTTCTTTTCACTTGCAGTTTTCTTCTTCCTGTTGAGAGTATGTAGTAAATAGTTCTTTTCTCTGCTTAAGCTTCCCAAGTCCCATTCCTTCCTCCCACACCCTTATCTGTTAGGCCCTTTGGTATTTAAGACACTGACTCACAAGCAGGCAGGTTAGGTTCTGTTGAGTGGGGTAAGTTTTGTCCCTAGTGTGTGGATGGCTTGGCTGCTTTTGAAGTAGTTACATTTCTGTGGTTTATAGCTTGGGCTATGAAAACATCTTGAAATCAGTTTTTCTCGTAAAACTGGACTGTAACGTGCGATGGTTGCAGGCAGCAAGAAGAGCAAGCTACTTTGTTTGCTTCAGTGCAGCACTTCACATCTGACTTTCTGTTTTTGAGGCAATTTCCACTGCTCTAAAAGAATTTTTTTTGTCTGAATTTTGTCTTATTTGGCACACTACAGATAAACAAGTGGAAATTCTTACGTCTTCAGTCTGGAGGTGCCACTGACTCTTCAAAACTGTTCCACCTGCAGCAACTAGAGGGAAGATGTGCCAGAACTGTTGGGGAAGATCTTAGTGTTCTCATGAAACTCAGCCAGTTCCCCTTGGTTAATTTTAGAGAAACTTTTGTGGTTGACAGGGTGATGTGATGTTAAAACAAGAATGTAAGCTGGGGGAGGGTGTATGTTCAGCTCTGGTATATTATGAAATTCATCTCAATAAATAAATGCTCTGCAATAATAAGGTGGTTTGACGGTTGGGAAAGAGCGTGGCTGCTTCAGGCTGGCTGAAATGAGGAGTGTGTGTGTATCAGACTGGAAGTAACTTTCACCTCTTAATTTTTTATTTGTGTTTTGTGCCCTTCCCTTTCAAACTTTAGTGCTTTAAAAAGAGGACAAAGCAATCCTACAAGTAATTGATGTTGAAATCAATGATGACAGAGAACTGTTTTGATGAATTTATTTCTAAGTCATAGCAGTATGATTAAATGTCAACTTCACATGTTTAATAATTCAGTCAGGTTTGTACAGACTACTTAACATCTGGTTATTTGCAGCTGAAAATATGATTATATTTTTTCATGAGCAGCTCATACCTTTTTGATTAAATACTGAAGTCTAGATGTTTTTTAAAAAAGCCTCAGACTTGCCTTTTTTTTTTTTGTGAGAAATGTTCCTTTTAGGCACTGGAGTTTTGTGCCACAAAAAGCAAGGTCTACAGGGCAACACAGTCTTTTCTGCTAAAGAAACTTAATTTAGTTTAAAAAGACCCACACTGTGAGCTGTTCCATGAAATTTGTTCTTAGTATGCTGTGGTAAAAAGTATGGGCGGAAAGATGCTTTTTTGGGATGCATAAACCTAGATTTCATCCTTTGTACACAGCTTTATACTGTTTTTAGAACTTTATGCAATTTGCTTTAGCCCTTCAGGTTGTTTTGTTATACATACTGTTTCTTGTCTCATTTGAGAACACTTTGCCAGTGTGTAGCTAGGCCTTTCTGGGAATGCAATACTAGTGGTTATAAAACTTTGTTTTTTCAGGAGTTTATAACTTGGCTTAAAAAAATGCATTTTTTTCCCCCTAATCTTTTAAAAGGTCAGCTTGGTGTTTTAACTGCACTATGAGGTTTTCTTTTAAAAACAGTTCTTTGTCAGAAGACATTTTTGTTTCCATACCTAAACTGCTGGCTAGAAACTAAAGCAGCACACTCTGCTAACTCTAATTGAGGAAGGGAATGATAAGGAGTGGGAGTCTTTCTGTTTTTAACATTTTGCAGATACCTGGGATTTTTGTAGCAGCACTACATGATTTGTGGAGGGAAATTCTCTTTGATTCTCAACACTTTCTGCTCTGAAAACCTCCCCCCACACACATATAAACATACTTTATTTTCCCTGTTCATTCTCTGCATTTCACTGGGTTTTGCTTGGTTTATTACTGTGTCCTCTCATGCGGTTGGGAGTTTTTTATAAGGTGCTATAATGTGGTTGAGGGTTTTTATAAATACAATATTGCCAAGGTGAACAGAGCCCTTAGCAGCCTGATAAGATCTCATGGCTGGCCCTACTTTAAGCAGGAGGTTTTTAGGTCCCGCTGAGTTATTCTGTGATGCTACAGTGAGAAAGTCCCTGTAATCTGAGACTGATTTCATGTTTAGTTAGTTTGTATAAAGGGAATTTTACTGGGTCTCACCAAAACTTCATCCAGCTTAGTCTTCTGTCTTCTGGGTACTTCACTTTCAGTGGTTGAAAGTCAGTGTTCAGAGACTGGTGTAAGAACAGGCCAAGCATGGCATTCCCCAATGCTTTTTTTTTTTTTTTTTTTTTTTGTTTGTTTGATTGATTTCAGTTATTTGACATGCTTTTTTTTTTCCTAATGGCAATTTATGTACTGTTTATCTTTCAGGTCTTAATGTTTTCCTTTTTCTTTTGTAGAGGAAGATGTGCTGTGGTTAGAAAATGTATAGCTAAATCCACAGGCCAAGAGTATGCAGCTAAGTTTTTAAAGAAAAGAAGAAGAGGTCAAGACTGCAAAGCAGAGATTCTTCATGAAATTGCTGTACTTGAACTGATGAAGTCTAACCCTCGAATAGTGAATCTCCATGAAGTCTATGAAACAGCAAATGAAATAATCCTAGTGTTGGAATAGTAAGTACACTTTCATCACCATATTCCACCTCTGTAGTTAAAAATCTTTCCGTATACCATTTTTTTGCATGAGTGGCCTGAACACCCAGAAGAATTACAGGTGTGCTTTATATATTATGCTAATAATTCATTATAATATACTTTATAAGCATACTTATGTATTTTTTTCCTTTAAGAATGCATTGGGCAAGCTGACTGGAGAGGGTCCTTGAATCCCATAGGAAGTCCAGAGATCTTTGGTGAATCTTAAATCAGAAAAATATTAAAATAGACATTGATACCAAGGACACATTTTGGAGAAGCTGAGCACCCTTATGTTCTGTGAGCTTCAGTTAGCACTTGGCACTTTTTGGTGACTGAAGACTTGTGGTTACTTTGTGGCTTCTGAGCTTCTAAATTTATTGGTTTTGTTGTTGTAAAACTCTTTGGCTTTTGGAGCTGTTTCCAGAAAAATTCCTATGTTTTTTTTTTTTTTAGATGTCCGTGAAGCTTCTCATTAGCTCTGGCAAACAAATCTAATTTGGGAATTGAATTTGGATTACCTATTGTGTGTGTAAATTTTTGTTTGGAATGTAAGGAACTAAAAGGCAGTTTGTGAAATTAATTCTCTCTAAGCTTCAACTTTCATGTACGCAGTATTTGCAGTGCTGTTAATGGTGGTCTGCATATGCAGTGATAAATCCCTTCAAATTTTCCAAAGAATGTAGATTCTGTTTTTAAAAGCTTTTTTCCTGAAACTACATGTTCTCTGATACGTTATTTGTTGTTTTGTGAAAGCTATAATAATAAATAATGTAGAGGTAAAGACAAAGTACAGATGGCAAGTTTTGAACTGCCTATCAAGACAAGTTGACATGAAAGCCATACTGATTTTCTTACTTCTGTTTCAGCTCATCTAGCTCTGTCTTGTTTCATTACAGAGCTTTATCAAGCAACTTCCTTATACTACATTGGTGTTCATGATCTGCTTTGTTGTAGTGTTCAGAAGTCCTGCAGTGTTTCTGCTTCTGCTGGGATAGGCCAAGGGCTGATTACACATCTAAATTGTGTTCCCCTGTAGCAGAATAGACAGATTTTCTGGTTTGCTTCTTGTTATCAGAACTCTCAGTTGGTACTTGAAAAGAATTGCGAGCAATTAGTATCTTACCCATAAAATAGTTTATAAGCATTTCATGTTTAACTGTCAACTAGGGAAGGCATTACTGACCCCTCACATAGCTCCAGCAGGTTTGTGACTGTGTTTATCCACACTATCCATTTTCTAACTTTTATAGACTTGTTTTGTTAGCAGTGAAGGTTTGGCTTACTGATCTGTAGCTCTGAGGTAGCCCTTTATTCTTGAGAGAGAAACTTTTGAGCAGGCTGAGTAATGATTTCAGCCCCTGCCTGAAAGGAAACAGCTGACACTGTGGCCAGGTGCAGAAGTAGAACTAATAAACCACATGCAACATGGTTATTTCCATTCCAATTTATACTGTGCTAATTAGGGGTTTCTGTAAGCCTTTTGCTGAGGAAGATGTATCTGAGATGCTGTGTGAAAGGATGAAGCTTGTCAGTGTTATCTTTGAAACCTACAGTTTCCACACTAGCAACAAAGTGATAGAGCTGAGTCCTAGTATTTCTGAATATTCTGTGCCTACTCACTGACTTGGCAATTGTATATTGAATCACCAGCAGCGTGGTAGCTTTTCTTCCAGCTCCTGCTCTCATTTTCAGTCTTCCATCAGCATGGCAGGACCTAGGAAGGGCAAGTAAGCAGTTTGCTCACACTCCAGAACTATTCCTCAGCAACCTGTACATCCATTGCACTGTAGTTCTTACATGTACACCACAGCCATGTCATGTAGAAAATGACAATGATTATTACTCCTGAATTAGAGAACAGAAATACTGTTAGGCTTTCTGGCTTTGGATTATTTATGAACTGGTCTAATGGAAGAAATTTTAGCTGTGACTTGAAAAGAAAGACTTCTTTGGTTAGGGAGTGATGATGGAACTCATTTTCCTGAGGGCACCTTGGCACTTGCTTACAGGAAAGTATGTTTGGTGGTACCAGAGCATGATGAGATTATCAGTCAGTGTTCTGTTTTGCTGTTGCAGGCTATGAGGAGAGAAAGAATACTCATATCTTTTTCATTTTCTAAATGTTTTTTATGTGTTTTGGTATAAATGTGTTAAAAAAGTAATAATAACAATATTCCCAGCCTCTCTGATGTTACAATTATATAAATTGGTGCTACAGTAGGTGTTACATATGAACGTTTTTACTCACATAAGCTTCAGAATTTAAGCTTAATTTGTAAATGTTCTTGAATGTGTTTCAGTGCTGCTGGAGGAGAAATATTTGACTTGTGTCTCCCAGATCTGGATGACAGAATTGGTGAAAGGGATATTGTAAGACTTATAAGACAAATACTTGAAGGACTTTGCTGCTTGCATGAAAACAATATTGTTCATCTTGATCTGAAGGTGAGGCTGCAGCTGACTTTTTATTTTAGCACTTTATTTTCAATTCGTTATTATGTTAAACTAATTGTTAAATGCAAAACAAAGATGAGGAGAAAAAGGAGTGTGTTAGAGATGAAATATTTTTACAATAAAATTTAGCAATAGGTATGGCATAATAGAGCCTGAAATGTCATTTTGTACATTGTGCTTTTTGCAGATTCTACTTTATTAATGGAGGATTAAATATTTTCTCTTCTAGCCTCAAAATATTTTGCTGAGCAGTGTCAGTCCTCTTGGGGATGTAAAAATTGTGGATTTTGGTATGTCCCGGAAGCTTGAGAATTCCAGTGAGCTGCGACAGATCATGGGAACAACAGAGTATTTAGGTATGGAAGAGCTGCTTCAG